ACATTAAACTTACCACATGATCCTATTGTGATCAACAATCCATCCCCAAACCTCTTCTCGTAGTCCATTTTCTTAACTTGGATTAATTTGCCTCCATTCTTAGCCTTGAACTGATGGTCTCCTAATCCCAATTTTTCACAGTCTAACTCCATAAAATCATGTTTCCCTCTCACCTCCCACCATTCTGATCTTGTGACTTCTTACACTTGTCTAACCTTATTAATCAGTTCGTCTCCTTTTGCTGGATAAAGTAAAAAACAAAACAATAAGCTCATTTCATCCATTACAAATTTATCATATCCAGCCTCAGTTGGACACTCCCTTCTGTTCAACAATCCTTTTACTATATTCTTATTGATTTGTTATCTCATTTTGCACAATGACTTTTCCAAACTTCTCTTTCTGTCCTTTTGATCACAATCATACTCTTCAAACAGTCTCCCCCCCCCAACTTGCAGCAGATGACAGCTCCTACTTCACTCAGATTAATGCCACCACAAATTAACTTTATTTTTCCCGACAAACTCTATTTCTCAAACTTCTCAGTACCATCAGCAATTTTCATCTGCTTTTCTTAGGTAGCAGAAGACATATCCTCATGTGTCTCTAAGGCTCTTTTCCTCTACCTTGATTGCATCCTTGATCTATTCCCTCCTACTTCACCACAACTGTGCTTAAGTAGTCATTCCTCTTCATAATTCAAGTGCAATCTCCTCATTTCCACTGAATGTTTCCTATCTGGGAAAAATGATATAATATGTTAAGAGAACTTAGTTTTGAGTTAATAGTTTAAGCAAGTTGTTTTATCTCTTGGTCTTGGTTTATATATTTGTGAAATTAGCGGGGTTTAATAAAATAATCTTTAAGGTCCCTTTCATCTCCAAATCTTTTGATCTTATGGTTCCCACCCAGATCACTGCTATTGACTTTTCAAGCTCAACCTATCCCAAAGTAAGCACATTATCTTCACCTCTACCCCTAAATCTGCTCTTCTTTCTGACTTCATTATTTCTGTCAGCGGCATTGCTATTTACTCGATGTTCCAGGCCTGAAACCTTGTGGTTCTTTTTGACTATTCCTTCTCCATCTAATTAAATACTAAAGTTTTCCCATTCCTTTTCCAAATCCTCTCAGCTCTGCAAGGCACCAAGGTGGTATGCAGCCTCATTACTACCCTCCTCGATTCCTAGTACTCTGCCCTAAGAAGGCTTGCTTCCACTATTTGTCTCTCCAGTGACACTGCCTGAATAATCTTCCTAATTTATTTTTCTTGCAGAGCCATTCCTCTACTGTAACATTCTTTTTCTTTGGCTCTTCATTGCTCGCTGAGTAAAGACTTTGTTTGGCTTTCAAGACTCTCCTTAATCTGGCACCAATCTATCATTTTAGTCTAATCTCATTCACTTGCATTCCTTCTAGTCGAATTCCATGTCTCTCAATTCTCTGAACATGACCTGAGGTTTCTTACATTACTTCTTTTTTCATGCTCTTCCTTAAGGCTCTAATTCCTCCATCCTATACCTTTTGAATTTTGATTTATCCTTTAAAGCACAATTCAAAATGCTTTCTTTTCTGAGAAGCCTTCTCTGATTCTTCCTGTCAGTAGAAACCATGTCTCTCAAACTTCATGTGATATTTGCATCTAAGCTCATTAGGGAGTTCATTACGTACCCAAACTGACAAGTCCAGCTCATCTTCCTCTTTGGAAGTATTTACATTTATATATTCAGATTTTTATTCTTGAGTTTCCCAGTTCTCCTTGGTTGCCTTATCTAAAATTTTAGTCGTTTTAGTACTATCTATTGAGGCAGCTAAGTGGTGCAGTGTATATAGCACTAGGCTTGGAGTAAAAAAAGACCTGAGTTTAAATCTAGCCTCAGACATTTCCTAGCTGTGAGACCCTGGACATGTCATTTAACCTTTTTGTCTCAGTCTTTTCATTTGTAAAATGAGGATAATAATAGCACCCACCTCCCAGAGTTGTTGTGAGAAGCAAATGAAATGATAAATGTAAAATACTCAGCACAGTGCCTGGCACATAGTTTTACATAAATGTTAGTTATTATTATTATTATTATTATCATCATCATTATCATTCTAACTTTCTTCTCACACTTTGACATTTATTTCTCCAGAATCTAAGGTAGATGTCATATTATATACACCAGTGGTCACTTCATCCCCAGATCCCCATCATTTCTACCCTGTTAATGAAAATCATATAAACATAATATTTTCCTGATTCATTTTCCTACCTATTGAAGTATGCAATTACTCTTATGGCCAGTCTAGAAGTTATTGGTTTCTCTGATTTAAGAAAAGAGAGAGCTTTGGCATATGTCTGGATAATTTAAACCTTCCATCAAAGCTATATCATGTCTTGTGTGAGACGTGATCTGTTTCCCACATTCCTTACTTTTGATAAAATATTTCATCCTATACTTTCAGAGAATATGGAGTAATACAAGCTAGATGATAACATAATTAAGTGGATTCATATCTAGTTGAATTGCTGGACTCAAAGAGTAGTCATCAATGATTCAATGTCAACTTGACAGGAGGCCCAAAGTAGAATACTTTAGGGATATGTGCCTGGTCCTGTGTAGTTTAAAATTTTCTTAATGATTTGAATGATGCCCTCAATGGCCTTCCTACCAAATTTGTAGGTGACCCAGCACTGGGAGAGAGAGCTACAATACTAAATGATAGAATCAAGGACCAGCAAAGATATTGAAAGGCTAGAGCTTCGGATTAGACATAATAAGATGAAATTCAATAGAGATAAACAGAAAATCTTGCAGCTGGGTTAAAATATCAACTTCTTAAATACAAAATTGTAGATGCATAGTCAGGAATTTGTCTGGCAAAAATCTTGAGATTTCAGTGGACTGCAAGCTCAACATGAGTCAGTAGTATGATATACCGGCAAAAACAACAACAACAAAACCAATATAATCTTGGACTATATCAAGAGAACCACTATTCCAGGAATTGTGAGATGATTGTACCTCTGTGGTCTGCCTTTGTTAAGCCACACACGGAATATTATATTTAATTCAGGGATTTAAGTTTAGGAAGGTTATTAAGAAGAACTACAATGTGGAACAGGGATTGGATTTGCTCTACTCGGTTCTGGAGTGCAGTACCAAGAGTAATGGGAAAAAAAAATGGCGAAGAAGCATATTTGAGCTAGATGACAAAGAAAAAAATAACAGCTTCCTAACAATCAGACCACTTCCTGAAATCTCTTCTGAGGTGGAATGAACCAGAAAGTAGATGACCACTTAAGTATGACATAGTGGGGATTCCTTTCATTGATGGATTGGACTTGGTATGTTCCAATTCTAAACTTCAGTGCATCACAGTATGATACTTTATTTCTCTATTGCGATTATCAGGTAATGCTGTATATTGTAGTTACATGAGTTTTTGTATTTACATTAGCATGTGAGCTACTTGAAGGCAAAGGGATATTTTTGTCATTATTTGAATCTGCAGAACTTTGAACAGCTCTTGGCACATAGTAAGTACTTAATGAATTTTTGTTGATTGACTATCTTATTCACCAACATCTATTTCAGAGGATGAAGAGGTTAAAAAAAACACCAATTCTACAAATATGATATAACCCTCCATATTAAATCAATAAATATGTCAATTACTTCAGTGTAAATTAGGGATATTTAAGGATATAAAAATAGGGGATCCAGGAAGTGCTCTCCTCTTTCTATCCTTCACCCTCTATAATCAAAAGGAGGGAGGGACTCTAGGAATCAGGGGTATTAAGAAAGTGTGAATCTCAGGGGGGTAATGTGATTTTACAGGATGGTAAGATTATCATGTGATCAGCAGCCTGGGGAGAAATGAAGTTCAGGTATAAGAGATGAGGGAAGTTGAAGACTCATAAACTAAATAGCAGTCTAATATCTATACATGAATAATATTTTCTTTGAGAATATCATCAGAAGGAATTGGACATGGTCTGCTGAATAATAGCTACAAAAAAAACACGCATGAGTTATTCCTGAATCAGCAATATGTGTATAGTCGGATTACTGATGCATTAGAGCAAAAGTGAAAGTTAATATATAGCTAGAAGAAGGAAAGTAAATGAAATAAAGCTATGGCATGCAATTAAAGAAACTGCAATGCAATTTGTTGATACAAGTTATTGATATCAAATGATCAGAAACGGTTGAAGAAAAGACAATGAAAGCAATTATAATGATTTCATGGAGAAGTTAATAAGTCAATTGTCATAACAAAAAGACCAAAAGACATTAAGAGATATACCCTCAGAACATTTTAGAACCTTATTGAAGGGAGATCCAAAATTATCTAAAAGAATTTAGCCTGTCTATTCACGTAGGAAAAACAGATGAATGAAGAATAACTAATTTTGTGATTAAGAAATTCAACTGGGTAATCAACCCATAGAACTGGTCATCAGTATCAATATCTTGGACAGACACCATACAAAGACAATGACCAAGTTCCAAAACTGAATAGGAAGATTAGTGCAGGTTTGATTCCTTTTGTGAAATCACAAAATTCTTTTAATGACTCCAAAATTCAGAAACAAAGGTCAATCTTTTTAATCCCCATGTTCTTCCATCATTGCTTTATGGATGCAAGTCAGGTCATAGACTTTGAAGAATTGAAATTAGAATTACCCAAAGAAGGGCAATGGAGAGTCAATGAAGTGAGAGCACTAACAGATTCTTTATCTGACTGCACAATTCTCAATCCCTTGAAATCTCCATGTAGGGGAAAAAAGAATACACAAAGAATGTTGGGGGTGAAGGGAAATAGTGTGTCACTGCATTCAGAGCTTGAAGAGTACGTGCACACATGCATGTGTGTGTGTGTGTGTGTGTGTGTGTGTGTGTGTAAGTTATAACGGACCAGTTGGCTACCCTACCACAGCTAAAATTTAGCAGTTTTTGGGTCCTGTGAAATTACCACCTTTTTCCCCTAACAAAATTCCTTTCTTTTTTCAGATTAAATCCTGCTTATATATTCAGTACTTGGCTATCATCTTTAATATATTTCTCATCCATTCCCTGGGAAACAAGTCTACTCCTATTACCAATGAAGCAATTGAGACATAAAAGAAGAGTTAAGAAACCCAATCAATCTCAAAGACAACAATACATACTAGAACCTCTTTCTTTATAGTTAAGGTACCAGTGTCTCATATTTTATTCTACCAGGATGCTAAAATTTATTCCCTTTGCTTTCCACAACACTTTTTCATGTAATTTGATAATAAATGAGTTCCCAAGTCTTTGTTTCTCAAAGCCTACCTCGCCTGAAATTGCCACAGTCAGTATTGCTTCTCAATTGTGTGCTTACTATAATAAAACAGTTTTAATTTGGAAATTTTTCCAGTTAAATTTCAGGATGGTGGTGAGACCTTTGATGAGTGGAGAAAGGATAAGTCTGATCAATAAATGATAATAACTGCAGGGGAGGCCTGGGTCAGTGCAGTGAACCAGATGGAACATCCTATGATTCATTTAGAAAGATATTCAGTCACTTTTTTTAGTCGTGTCTGACTCTTTGTAGCCCCATTTGGGGTTTTCTTGGCAAAGGAATTGGAGTGGTTTTTACAGATGAGAAACTGTTACAAATAGTGTAAGTAGCTTGCCCAGGGTCACACAGCTAGTAAAAGTGTCACAGACCAGATTTGAACTTAGAAAGAGGAGTGTTCCTAACTTCAGGGCTTGCACTCTATTCACTGTACTACCTAGCTGCTCTTTAGAAAGACAATTCCAACCAATAAGAAAATGGTTGTTATGAAAGTCTGGGACTTTCTTTTTATCCTTGGGGTATAGCAGTTTTAGGCCTCAGGTAATACATGTGACTATGTTATGTGGCAAGTGTTAGGGGAGGGTAGATTGAGAAAATGGAAAGTTATGAGTCTGTGATGTGGTTGTGAGGATACTATCCAACAGCTCTTGAGCAATCTTCATCGTAAAGACATGAAGGAAATTTTATGGGGTAACTCCATTACAGCCTTGTCTAACATTATGAGGCTATTACCTCCTTGTTCTAGGGATTATGTTTCTCTTAATAAAACCCAAGATATTACATTAGTTGCTATGTCACACAGTTGACAAATATGGAACTTGTTCTGTAAATCATCCCAGAGCTTTTTACTAATGCACTGCTAACTCTCTCTGCCTCCTTTATCTTGAACTTGTTAAGTTAATTGTTGGAAATACAAATGCAAAACTAATGTACATTCCTACTATATGTTAAGAAATGTATTAGTTATCCCACCCAGTCATATGCCATTTGCAGATTTGGCAAGCAAGTTACCATGTCTTTCTTCATCTAACAAAAATGCATGGGGACAGGGATAAAGTTCCAAGGTATTCCAGCAGAAACCTCCCTCCAAGCTGACTTGAACTCATGAGTGACTACTCTTTGGATACAGTAGCTTAATCAGTTCTAAGTCCATTTAACTATTTTCTAGTAAAGTCAACATCTCTTTACCTTGCTTTAAGAGTACCATGAAAGACTTTTCAAAATACTTTGCTGAAATCTTCAAACATACCCTTATATAGTTATCATGGAAATAAAAGAAAATAGTGTGTCTGGCATGACTTATCCTGGAAGTCACACCAGCTCTTTGTGATCAACACATCCTTTTCTAAATTTGCACTAACCATCCTTTTAATAATGGAAAATAAAATGGCAGTGAGAATCGGGAATTCAATTGCTTTGAGAAAAGGGAACTGTGTTCTCATTCATCTTTTGAATGTACTGCTAATTTTGCCTCTGAGCCTAGAGGAAAAAGATCCAAAACTCAAACAAATTTGTGTTCCTCTTCCTGTCACACACACACACACACACACACACACACACCCACGGTTGACTTTACCCTCTGAGCCTAGAGTAAGAAACAGTGTATTCCTTTCCCCATAATATGCACTCATAGTTGTCCTTATTGGTTGGATCTAGTGACAGTGGAGTTTTATGTCTATGTCTCCTAGGAATAGCCAAAAGAGAAAGAAATCTAGGGTCTAGCTAGAACACCTGGCACATAATTTAGTCTCCTCAGTTTTTATGTCATCATCTCAGTAATTACTAATCAGCTTCAAAGCAAATGTGAATACAGTAAAGATTAATGGTCTTCACAAGTGGAATATTTAAGCAAAGTTTGTCTAAATGTGGTAAGGTACATGTGTGGGCTCTTTTCTTCTGCCCCTCTTTTATGAAAAAGAATCCATTTTGATGGCACTTGAATTCCACAGCAGTGATCAACAGTTGCAAACAAGTATTATATCACTTTTGGCAGTAATGTTTACAAAAATAACATTGCAATAGCAGGGGACCTACTGAGATCATACTAGGGGGTTTGAACTGCAAAAATGCACTCCTAACACTGTGGGATAAGACTGCATTGGGCAACCTGTCGCCCAGAAAATCCAGGGCAAGCATAGTGAATTCTTCTGGGGAGGCACCCCAAAGTAATCCTCTTTCCATTTTTTACATCCAATCACCATTTCATTTCTCCCTGTCTCTTTCTTTTTTAGAAATAAAAATATTAAAAATAGTCCTTCTATAATTACAATGCTCTCATTTTCTTTTCAGATTACATCTGTGATTGCATTCCTGAGAGTTCCAGCTTTTTTGATATACTATATACAACTCCGGTCCTGTTGTCATCCTACAAGCCCTTCATTAAGGAAATAAATGCCTGAGTGACAATGATAAAATGTAAGAACATTTTAGGAATTGGGTTGGGGGAATGGAGGAGAGAAATATGTAAATCTCTTCACTAACATTGTCACACTTCACTATGTTACAGATTTCATAAATCAGATACAGTTATGAGAGTTGAATACACATGCTGTAAGAATATTTTATGAAAAAAATAGTCTGTTGAAGAGATCATTCTGTGTCTGAGAAGGAACAGCTGATGGTTTCAGAACTCAACACTGTCAGATCCTAAGTGCTCCAAAGACCAGACATAAATCTGACTGGATGATTTCAAACTCTTTGCAGAAATATTTTTTATCTCAGTGATCTACAAATGTGCATGTATATAAATATATGCATGCATCATACATAATAAATGTATGTATATATTTGTATACATAATAAATAAAATTTGTTTTAGCTCCTATGTAATATTACATATATAAGTAATACAACATATTTGTTTTAGCTATATCATTACTTATATGTAAACATATATAAATATTTTATCTACCACACACATATATATTGATGTAGGAGCTAAAAACAAATTCCTTGTGTGACCCTCCAGACCTTCTAATATGCCACAAATAGATATCATTAGAAGTGTTCCTACATCTGTGTACATCTTCAGGTCCTGAAGTTAAACATCTTTGCACTTGAATCTATTTAGACACATTATTCTGTATGAAAATCATCAGAGAGAGATTGCAGATTTCCTAAAGGATTTTTAATTTTTCCATCAAAACCCCCACAGAACAAAATCTTGCATATCTCCCTCTTTTCTTCTTATAAACCAAAGTATTTCATTTCACATACACAAGACTGGACTTACTTGGAATTACATTTGATAAAGATGAGTTCTTTTTCTGTGTACAATTACAGCCAAAGTAATTGAACCTGGGAATTAATAGGAATTTTTTTTCTGGTAAAGTAAATTAATGCACTGACCCTTTCTCCTTCCCCTACTCCTCCTTCTTCACTTAAGAATTGTGTTCAGATCTTGTTTGGCCAGTGGTCAGGTGTACAGAAAGATTGTCCTCTTCCCTTTCCTCAGAGCTCTTAGTTTAGTGCCTACAGGATGTTAAAGCACTTAACAATTAAGTTGTCCTGGCAAGTGCTCTTCCAACAGAGTGCCAGATCTGCAATAGAATAGCAGAGGTATTGTAGGTCATGATGAATGAGATTTACTAGTGAAGGCAGAAAAATATATACAGGAGTTATTTATAGGAGAAATGAACTTTGTATTCATAGAATATCTTTCATGTCTCTATCTTGAAATGCTTGCAAACCCTCTTATCTCTGGTGGTCTATGGTTTCCTCACTGTTTTCCTGTGGCGATGTCAAAGCCCCTACACAGTTCAAGACAGGAACAAAATCAAGCTCTCTTTACTCTTGAGCTAATGTACTCAGCTGTAATCATGCTATGCTTGTTCTCACTATTTCCTAATTACCAAGATCTGGGGTACTCTTAATGTGATAGATTTTACAAGATTATAGGCCTGGTTCCTCTTTGGTGTGAATGAACAAATAAGAGACTGGGGTATGGTCCTTGAATGACAGAGAAAAGCAGGTCTGATTGAAGCAGAATAATGGTAGAGGACAAAACGAAGTTTTTTTTTTCTTCCACTTTTGTCACTAAATCTATGGTAACCATTTAGAATGTTGGCAATTGACCGGGAAGGGAAGAGAATATTTATAAAACAAATACCATTTTTAGGTATCAAAAGAAAAATCTTCCAGGATGTTATTCTTTGATCTTCAGCATTGTGGCTGTCATGATCATAATCTGTGTCCAAATAGCAAGTTTATTCCTCATAGTTCTTCTCTGTCCTCCCTACATAGCCCGATACAGTTCAGATGGCATAGTAAGGGCTTGATACTTCTCCCCTGTCCCAGATCAGTCATTAATTTATTAGGCAACACTGTCTATTGTAATTATTTGATTTTCTATATTATCTCCATGATATCATCATTAAAATGTGGGACTTGGAGTTAAGGAGAAATGAATTCAAATCCTGCCTCAGATACTTACAAAGTATTAAGCTGTAACTAAGAGCAGATCAACTGTGGTATCAAACTTAGAAGCCACTGAGAGCACCTGTAGTCCTTCAATAGTATAGAAAAGGGATAGAGCATGGCCCTGAAGTCAGGAGGACCTGAGTTCAAATCCGGCCTCAGACCAAACACATGACACACACTAGCTGTGTGACCCTGGGCAAGTCACTTAACCCCAATTGCCTAAAAACACCCCCCCCAAAACAATAGCATAGAAACAAAGTTTATACTACATATGTATGTATGTATATATCTATATTATACTAATATATATCATATATACTATATGTAGTATATATAACATAATATATATAATAGTATATTTATATATTATAACATATAAATGTATGCATGTGTGTGCAAATATGCATGTGTATATGTATGTGTATATGCATCCACACATATATTACCTAAATACCCAATATATACATACAAACATATATATGTATATACATGTTTTTATATGCCTGTGTGTATTATGTATGTGCATGAGTGTGCACATGTGTCTGGACTTGTGATTTCTTTGGTGGGAATTCCAAGTTTGGAAACTATCCACCTATTCAGTTAGTCTCTAAGATCTTTTCTGGATCTAAATCTATGATCCTGTGATCCTTAATTTAAAGTCTTAGGGAGAAACCTGAAACACTGAGAGGAAAATTAACTTCCCCACAGTCACATAGCTAGTATGAGTCACAGGCTGGATTTGAATCCAGTTCTTACAACAACATTAGCTATTAATCCTTTATGCCATGCCCTGTCTCTGGCAAGAATAATTAGTTAAAATAGGAAAATTTTAGATGATGGACTGACAGGAATTTCTACCCTACCAACCTAGATGTTGGCTACCATGCCAGTGGTCTCTTCATATTATACCAAAGTATCTCTCTCCCCACCACAGTTGGGTTCTTATTTTCCTCCCCCCAGTCCCCACCCAATGGTGCGTGCCCTTTGCAATAAGCTTGATTCGTGGTGTTTGTCCAGGTTAAAAAAAATGCCTGATGATGACTCTGGTTGTGTGATTTTGGGTAAGACATTTTGCCTTTCTTAGCTTCAGTTTCCTCATCTGTTAAATGTGGGTAGGCATTTTGAAATTCTAATGAGATAGTATATGTAAAGCCCTATGAAAATCTTAAAAGCCTATATAAATACGATGATGACCAAATTATTAGCTCCATAAGGTCCAAGGATCCTCTCTTTTTGAAAACATTGTCCTCCTAGTGTTAAGTACAGTGCTTCTATCCCAACAGGTATTTAATAAATGGTCACTAAGAGAATGATCCATTTATTCATTTTAATCAAGGTAAAATTGATCATCCTTACTTTTCTTTCCTCTGCCCCCAAATATGGTATTCTCTCTCCCCACTCTTTAAGTAAAATTATTTCATAGAAAAAGAGAAATAAACCAGAGCATTTGGTTCGATACAGAATTAGCTCTGCCTCTCCATGAAATTTTGGAGTCATCCTAGAATACAAAAAGGCAAATTCTCCTCCTATGCATATGTATTTTTAAAGGTGTGTAGGAATTACAGAATGATAGAGCTGGAAAGGATATATCTTGTTTTTATGCTGTTTAGGATACTTTGAAAATCATAATGGCATAGACTCCCCCCTACTTCTAAAACTTGCCGAGGTACCCAGAGGCTGATAAATGATGGGTGCATCTCATAAATGTAATAAATACATAATAACTAAATAACTAAATAATAGATATATAGAGTTCCCACCAACTTCCTTTGCAGATACATGCACAGGGGGAGGAGAGTTACAGGCTGACAGTTTTTAAAATGTGTTATAAAAAGATCCATTTAAACGTAATATATTGTTATTATTCTAGAGACAAATACTATGCTATAAGTAAAGGGCCTGTCAGCATTTCTACTGGAAGCTCTCATTTTTTAAGGGTGTGTAATTCAACCTTAAAAATGTGCTGTCAGCTGAAATATAGTACATAAAGTTTCGGTGCTTTTTCCAATATTTTTTATGTTTTGAAAAAAAAATAGTTTTTTCCTCCCCCCTTTAATTATGTGAATATTAAACCCAAATAATTACCAACACTTTCAAATCCTTTAATTGGATAAGATAGTAAGTTCTAAGAAATCTAGATTGGCACCACCATCTGAGGGCATAAACTGTCGTAACAGTGAAATAGTAGAAACTGCTTCACATCAGTTTCTTGGTCAAATATAATATGTGGGTGGAGGCTGTATAATTTGTTTCTGAAGCATATGAAGAAAAAATAATTTTGCCCAGGACCCTGGAAAAAATTCAATTTTTAACTGGAGATGTGAAAGTATTAACAATCACACCTACAGAGATGAACTATCTACCAGTGACATTTAAAACTAGCCAATTCATTTCTGTTCTTTATGGGCTAGATGTCTGTTTTAGGAATTTATGGCAAAACATCTGATCCAAAAGTAGTTATATTCTTGACAACAAAAAGCAATAAAGAAGCAGTAGACAGCAATGAAAATTGATAAGGAGAGACAGTGATAAACAGCAAAAGAGCCATTATGACCAAATGATTGAAAAAGCATGAGAGAGAGAGAGGAGGAAAATAGGAGTGAAGGGTGATCAGTTTAGAACAACAATTGAGCTCCTAACAAAAGAACCTAGTTTTCCCTGGTTTTAAACTGAAGGAGATATGCTGAGAGTTGAGAACTTAGAATAGAGAGAAGTCATTTTAAAATGTTTGTCTAGCATATGGATACTCAGTTCTTCCTCTTTTTTCCTTCCCTTCTTCTTTCCTTCCTTCTCTTTACTACCCTCCACTCTTTCCTTCCTTTTTTTCCTTCTTTCCTTCTTCCTTCCTCCCTTCCTTTCTTCTTTCCTTTCTTCCTTCCTCTTTTTCTTTCTTCTTTCTTTCTTTCTTTCTTTCTTTTTCTTTCTTTCTTTCTTTCTTTCTTTCTCTCTCTCTCTCTCTCTCTCTCTCTCTCTCTCTCTTTCTTTATATCTTTCTT